TAAGGTGGGGGCCAGGGCTGACCCCCCACGTGTCAGATCTGAGCCACCAAGAGGGTGACCTGGGAAGACTGGAGACCCGGCCCCTCTTGGTGCAGAGGCTGGGGGACCCACTTATGGCCTCTGCTCAGCTGCCACTCGCCTCCCTCGTCACTGAGTGTCCCCCTCCTTGGTGTCCTCGGGTACACCAGTGCCGTGAGTGGTGAGGACTGGCGGATCTAACCCTAACCCCTGCGTAGGGCACCGCGGGTCCCGAGGGGACCCCCTGCTGTGGCTGAGGGCTCAGCTGAGAGAATGTGCTATAAGGGGGGACACTCCTGGGCGTGGGGCCCAGGGGTGGTCCCCAGAGAGCCTGGCTGTTGTTACCTGAGAGGAATCAGCCTGCGAAGGAGGAGTTGGTCCTGACCCATGGGCAGGAGCTGGGAGGGGCCCAGCTGTCGCGGCAGTGTCCGAAGCTGCTGGACACTGCGTGGCAGGAACCCAGCTCCCCAGCCCTGGGGGCGGAGGCTGGACCAGGGTCCCAGGCTGAGCTCCCTGCACAGGCTCCAGGTGGCCCTGGGCTGGTGGCCCCTCACTGCAGGCTCTGCCTCCGTCTCCACGTGGCTCTTTGCTGTGAATCTCTGGCTCCAAATCTTCCTTTCCTTTCTAAAGAGGCCTGACTGGGGTTCACGGTTTCATGCTGAGTGTCCACCAATTACAGCTAACTGCCTAGCGGACCCTATTCTGAGTGTCCTGGTGGCCAGATAGCCCAGGGTTCTCCATTCAGTAGCCCTGACCCAGGCAGGACTCGTCTCGGGGCCCTTCACCATTGCAACCTGCAAAGACCCTGTTGGCCAACGAGGTCCCATTCTGAGGTCCCAGTGGGCTTGGCTTTGGGGGACAGGATTCCACCTAGAGGCACCCAGGAAGGCAGGAGGACGGTGGGGCGCCCTTCCCAAGCCCCAGGATGCACTGGGAGCTGCTCTCAGAGCACCCCGTCCTTGGAGCTCAGTGTCACAGTGTCCCTGCCTCTGTCCGCCCTCCTCCTGCCGTCTTGCTCTCCAGGAAACGAGAGAAGCACCAGGCAGCGCCTGTGTTCAGCCCGAGTGCCCAGTGCCTTCTCCCAGGCTTCCCGGGCAGCCCCGGGTCCTCCTGGACCTGCACCCACCTGGGCTGTCGGGCTGCCTCAGGGGCATGCCACGGAGGCCATGCTGCACGTCCCAGGTCCCAGCTGCATCTCCCTGAGTGAACCCCACAGGGAGAGTGTGGTGGCCCTGGTGACCTGTAGGGGCTGCAGCTTCCTTCCTGTGTCCCCCCACTGGTGCCGCACCTGGGGTCTCCCGGGAAGGAGCCCTGCTGCTCGGGAGTACACCCGGGCGCTGGGCGTCTTCTCGGACCGACTTCTCTGGGGTGGAGGGCAGGTGGACGTGTCCTGGGTGGGTGTGGACGGGCCTGCTCCCTACCCTGAGGGTGGCCCGTCTGCTCCTACAGCCGAGTGGCAGGTGGCAGAAGCCCGGGCTCTGGTCCACACGCTGGCCGGCTGGTCTGTGGTGGACACCATGGTGGTGCCCACCAAAACGCCCGAGAGGAGGCTCATCTTTGGCAAAGGGAACTTTGAGCACCTGACAGGTGAGTCCCTTTGGGTGTGTCCCTCCTCTGTCTCTGCCAAGAGCATGCAGGCAGAGTCCTGCAAGGGCTGGCTCCCTGGGGCCCGGGAAGCAGCGGGGCAGGTCTCAGGCAGGAGGGGACAGCCCAGGAGGAGGATGTCCCCCCAGGCCTGTGCATGGGGCTCAGACAGGTCACAGGTTGGATGAGTCACGTGGGGGTCACTGGGGGCAG